GCGAGTGCGGGTTCTGATGCAGGTCCAAGTGGTCGCCTGTCTGTTATGAAAAGAAAGGGAGGAAAGTAATGGGGAGAAGCCAGTGGAGGAAGAAGTGATGCGACTTGGTGACCAGTGACGTGTGGCGGCTGTTAGGGCTTCTGTAGGCGAAGGGGAGAGGCAGGCAACACAGAGCCAAGGCAGGGACGGGCTGCCTGAGACCGGGAAGCACCTGGGGCTGTGCTCATCGGTCAGAGCCTGACTGAGGGGTAACTAGTGCTGTGAAGTCGATAAACGTGGTGCAAGGCTTCAGCTCATTCCTGGAACAGGCAAACTTCTGAACTCTCTTTCCAGTCTCTGCGGGAGGATGGCTCCCCTCCGACCTCTGCTGGTGGTGAGCGGGGTGAGAGGCCAGGAGCCCCTGTTGCTCACAGCAGACGGACTTGCCCAGAGGGGCCCAGGTTGCAGGACTGGACTGGATGGGTTTGCCAGAGCTGAGTGTCCAGCACTTGAGCCTTCTGGGTTCTAGGCTGTCATCTTTTTGTATGTAAACCCGCACTTTACCCATTGAAGGAACTGTGGGACGGCCTGGAGATGCGCCCTAGACTTGACCTTAAAGTCTGGAGCCTCTGGGTGACCTGAAGAGGTAGATGAAATCTGACCAATGAAATGTGTTCACGGTTGTTCTGGGACCTCTGGGGGAGGGTGGGGCCCGCTGGTCTTGGACCAGAGATGAGTTATTTACAACAGAAAAGAGGCTGCGCTCCTGCCAGCCTGGACCTGCTCCCGTGCTGTGGGGTGGGGGGCTCCTCCCACCTGCTGCTGCTGACCCTCCTGGGACCCCCTCAGATTGGGAAGCTGATCAGTGGGGGCCCAGGGTGGGGGCCTGGCGCTCAGGGTGACCTCTGGCGTTGCCTTTCTGCCTTTATTCTTTGAGCCTCTGGTTACTTGTGCTCTGTGACCTTGGGCACAAGCCAGGCACCCAAAAGAAACCCAGCTTGCTGGCACACCCACCTCGTGGCAGCCCTGCGGGAAGGGCTCCTCAGCAGTGGCAGCACCTCCCATGGCCACGCCCACCTCTCCTGGCAGCAGACGGGAAGACACCTTCCCCTGTTTCCGGTGTGTCACCCCAGCCCACACGGTGAGAGTAGAATGGCAGTTCCTGGTGAGTGAGGCATGAGTCAGCCAAGGAGAATGGTGGCTGAGTCTTCATACCCTCCAGGCCTGGTTATTAAATATGAGATGACACGACAGTATTGATCGGTTCTTACCCAGCCCCAAGGGAGAGCAGTTTGTCTGGGACAGCAATGTCTTGGATATAGACAAACTCTGAAGAGCTCAAAGGTGCTGTCTCCAGGGGTTGGCAAAAGTAGGTTTATAGTTTGAGTATAGGAAACACAGAGTTTATTCTTTTTTTTTAAAAATATATTTTATTGATTTTTTACAGAGAGGAAGGGAGAGGGATAGAGAGTTAGAAACATCGATGAGAGAGAAGCATCCATCAGCTGCCTCCTGCACACTCCCTACTGGGAATGTGCTGCAACCAAGGTACATGCCCTTGACCGGAATCGAACCTGGGACCCTTCAGTCCCCAGGCCAACGCTCTATCCAGTGAGCCAAACCAGCTAGGGCCAGAGTTTATTCTTTTTTTTTTTCTTTTTCTTTTTTTTAAAATATATTTTATTGATATTTTACAGAGAGGAAGGGAGAGAGATAGAGAGTCAGAAACATCGATGAGAGAGAAACATCGATCAGCTGCCTCCTGCACATCTCCTACTGGGGATGTGCCCGCAACCCAGGCACATGCCCTTGACCGGAATCGAACCCGGGACCCTTCAGTCCGCAAGCCGACGCTCTATCCACTGAGCCAAACCGGTTTCGGCCAGAGTTTATTCTTGATTAATTATTGTATTACAGCTGTAAACCTACTGTTGCCCACCCCTGTAAATGTCACCCGAAATTATATGATCTCCTCCCCAGAATTTGTTACCAGCTGTGGGGACACACTGGGTTCTGCCCATTTTACAGATGAAGAAGAGGACCCAGAGGGTGGTGCGACCTGTTGACAGGCACCCAGCAGGCGGGACCTCCTGGCTGTGGCTCGCATTGGCTATTTGCCAGCTCATTGCTCCTTCCTGTCTTCTCCTCACAGCCCCTGTCAGCCCGCCATTCACTCTAGCTGCCGGGGATGTGGCATGGACAAGACAAGGCCCCGCTCTCTAGAGCTGCATTCTTGGAGGGGAGACAGATTGGCAGGGCGGGCCCCACCGGGAGATGGAGTTCCTAGTCAGTGTCCAGGCCCTGGGTCCCCGGGCTGGGTGGGGGAGAGCAGATCTGGCCTAATTGTGGATTGGCCCTACCGGTCACAGATCCGTCTTTCCCTCCCAGGACAGTTATCAGGATAAATATACCAGCTCCCCATTCCTGGGGAGTTACTCACTGAGCAAAAGTACCCCACCGCTGCGGATTGGATTACCTCTGCTCTCACCGCTGTGTGCTCAGGGCTGGGGGAGGGGAGACCTGCCTTTTTGTTCTGTTCTCCTTCCTAATCTGGAAGAGTTTCAGGAAAGGGGCCGAGAGGAGGCCATCCGCAGGCGCTGGGCCTGCTGTTTACATAGCTCCTTCGGAAGGCCCAGCCTGCTCACTGCTCCCTGAGCTCAGGCAGCCGCAGGAGGTGTTCAGCAGGGGGACCCCAAACCTCCTGGGGCCCACAAAGTAGGCCATAAGGCTGGGCCTCTCCAGGACCTGTGGGGAAGGGACGTGCTGAGCTGATGCCGCCTCTGAGTCCGGTCTCGTATTAAAAGGCAGGACGTACAGCTGGCCCTGGCCACGGGGAAGGCCCTGGTGCGCTGGCAGCCCCTCTCCTTCCCTCCACCGTCAGCTCCTAGGAAACTGCCTGCCAGGCGCTGAGCACTGACTTAAACTGGCCCCTGACCGAGTGTTGATGTGTCTTGTCCTGTGGGCCTCTCCTAGGCCTGTGAGGTGGTGTCTTCCTGATGGCCCCTCTCTTCTAGTTCTGCCTGGGGCTGCCGAGCGGAGAAGTGTGGGGGGCCCAGCACTGGGGCAGGTGTGGCGGTGTGGGCTCTGGTTCCCAATGACGCCCCACATTTACCTGTTCCATCCTGGAGGCCTGTTGGGAGGCTTCTCCAGGGTGACTGGTTTCCCCAGATGGTGCCCCTAACTCCTGACCCAGGATCCGCGCAGCAGCCTTTGCCCCAGGAGTGGGATGGGTTGGCAAGGCCGCCTCTCTCCCCTCCAGGGTTAACCACCTCTCTGGGAGCTCTGGGCTGTTTTGCAGCTCCCAAGTCCTGAGCGTGTGCTGTTCCAGGACGGTGCTAAGCAAGCACTGTATCTCCATTTTCTCTTGTAATCCTTATTCCTCTGAGTTAAGGGGTGGAATTCCCATCTGACAGAAAGAAAACCAAGGCTCAAGAACAGCTAAGCAGCCTGGCTGGGCAGCTCAGCCACTAAGCAGTCGGTGCGACTCAGAACACCACTCCCCGTGCAAGCTCCAACAGCTAGAGACTCAGAAACCCCCTCCCCCATGCAAGCTCCAACAGCTAGAGACTCAGAAACCCCTCCCCTGACTCAGAGCCCCCTCCCCTGACTCAGAACCCCCTCCCCTGCAAACTCCAACAGCTAGAGACTCAGAAACCCCCTCTCCCCTGCAAGCTCCAACAGCTAGCGACTCAGAGCCCCCTCCCCTGACTCAGAGCCCCCCTCCCCTGCAAGCTCCAACAGCTAGCGACTCAGAGCCCCCTCCCCTGACTCAGAGCCCCCCTCCCCTGCAAGCTCCAACAGCTAGAGACTCAGAAACCCCCTCTCCCGTGCAAGCTCCAACAGCTAGCGACTCAGAGCCCCCTCCCCTGACTCAGAGCCCCCCTCGCCGTGCAAGCTCCAACAGCTAGCGACTCAGAGCCCCCTCCCCTGACTCAGAACCCCTCTCCCCGGTGCAAGCTCCAACAGCTAGTGGCTTAGAGCCTGGGGGGAGGGAATGGCTCAGAGTCCTCGCTGGCCCCACCACTCCCCGCGTTTATCTCACCCTCTTGGTGTCTGTTCAGCTCTAGGCCTGATAGTCTTATCGCTGCTGAGGAGGGGCTGGGGCCTGGTAGGAGGAAGACGCTCTTGTGAAAGAGCCCTGACTGGTTTTATGCACCAGTTGGGGTTAAAGGTGGAAAGGGTTCTTTAATTCTCTGACTTGCTGGGTGCCATGTGTCAGTAGGTCAGCCTGAGTCTCCAGAGCCAGTCTGGGGGCGCCCCCTACCTTGGGAGAATGAGGGGTTCTGGGGCTCCCTCCTCTGCTCTGCACCCCTAGGCTGGTTAGCCCCGGAATGCGGGCAGACCGGCCCCGTGGGCCCCCTCCCTCCAGGGGCAGCAGCCCCAGGCGCTTGAGTCTTAACCCCCTCGGGGCTGCAGATCCGGCCGCTCCCAGCAGGTGCTCGGGTCAGATTACGCTCCATGGCTCGTGGCTGGGGCTGGGGCGAGGCCTGGTTCAGAGCTCCCTGCACCCAGCCGCCTGCCCAGGTGGCCTCTTGCTGAAGCCGCGGCTGCTCTGCGCATTGCTTGGGCCCAGGCGCGGCCTCGGGATGGGGTCCGGCACCTGCGCGTGGTCTGTCTGCGGAGGGCGTGGCACCCGGGAGTGGTCACTCTGGGGTCGCACCTACAAATGGTAGTGCGCCCCGGGCCCGGCCGAGGCTGGGCACCCAGGCCCGCGGGCGCCTCCTCGGAGTCGGCTCTGTTCCTCCACCTCAGCCCAGCTTCCTGGCATTGAAATCTACCTTGTGCATCCGCGGCCGGAATCCGTGATCGCGCGAGGTTAGGAAGCCGGTGGGCCGGTAGCGCCCCCTGGCGGGGAGTGGCGAAGGTCTGCACCCCATCGTTGCCAGAGCCTAGCCGAGTGGCCTTCGCTGGGCTGGAGACTTGGCACTCCGCGCCCGCCCCTCGGGGCCCCTGGTTTGAAGAGAACCTCTCCCTCCACCGCGCATTGGAGCTCAGCTGGGCTCAAGAGGCGAGAAGCGCTCGGGGATCTAGGGTGGTTTCCCGAAAGGGGCTGGGAAGCCCATGCCTGGGGCAGGCCCCGGGGCTGCCTTGTTGGGAGGGTCTCAGGCCTGGAGAGAGCAGAGGAAGTCTGAGGCCTGCCTGACCCTGCATGCGCGCGCCCTGACTGCTTCCGTTCCTGCTTCTTTGCCCAGTCAGCCCCATTTTCTCTGGCACCTTCTTTGGGGTATGAGTAGGAGGGATCTCTGAGCCTCCCCCTAGGGTGCATAGAGCTGGGTGCCAGGCGGTAGATGTAGCTGCGAACTGGGGACACTTCCCTGTGGGCACTGCCTGCAGGTGAACGCCTCTGTGCAGTCCTCGCTGGGCCACTGTGTTTACTCCAGCAGGGGAGGAGTCTGCTGAACTTGCAAGGGAACTTTGGCCTGTAACCACTGTGCCCATAGGAACCCACCGCAGGGGTCAGCGTGTCCTCCATGGCTGCTCGGAGTCCTGGCTCTCTTCCCTGAGGTGTTTGTGGAGGTTTGGGGGGCGGTGACACCAAGCCCTGTCTAGTCCCTGAACAGAGACTGAGGGTGGAGAGGGGGAAGTGCACCACAGACCCTGTGACTGCCTGTCCTCGACGGGGTTCCTCTCATCAGGAGTTTGGAAAATGATGTCTGTTCTTTCTCCCTGATATCCACAGTGTTTCAGTTGGAATGTTACTTTACTACTTTAGCTTCCTTTCATGTCTTGCCCAGATTCTGCCCATGGAAGACTTAGGAGAGGTCAGTACTTAGCATCACACCCTGAGCGCCTTCGAGGAAGATCTTTTTCTGAATTTCACAAAGCAACTAAGATCTGATGTTTGCAGCTGCCCATGTGTATGCTGGCATCTATCTATCCTGTGTACACCCCCCCGCTGACTGAGGAAACTGAGGCTCAGGGGAGCTAAGTGATTTTGCTGTGTGGCCATGGACAATGGAGAGGGCAGCTGGGGCTTGAACTCAGCTCTGGCTCGACTCCAGAGCCTAAGATCTTTTGTCTCTGTACTCCGGGACTGCGCCTTCCGGTCAACTGATGTATCTGTTGAAAGAGCCCATTGAAATCGTAAACCAGAATCCAGTCCATAAACCAGTAAGCCAGACTTACAGTCAAATCATGAGTGACAAGGAGGGGTGTTTGATGCAGAGGGCAGTGGTTTGACAGGGAAGGTTAGCCATCTGTCTTCTATTGAGTGTTTGGGGCCCAAGAAACCCAAGTTCATATCCCAGCTGGGCCCCTTCAGCTGGCTTTGGCCGTGTGAGGTTGTGCCTCTGCCTCAGCCTCAGTTTACCACCTGAACTAGTGTCATTATGCGGAGGTGACGCAGCTGAAGCTCTTGGCACGGGTGGGTGTTCAAGCACAGCAGCTGCTCCTGTTACCTTCGGGGTTGGACTTGTTGCCTGCTCCGGGGAGCCCTCTGGGCTTTCTCCATGATAAAGGAGAAACCCCACCCTTGCTGGATTGGGCCCAGAGGAAGTGGGGACTCTGCATGAAGCCGGCGCAGCAGGTGGGGCTGCAGAGAGGCCACTGGGATTGGCCTGGACACGGTTCCTTTTCTGCTGTTACCTAGACACACACTGACTTGTTCTAGTTCCGGTTTGCTAGAGACAGGAAGCCAGATCCTTCCAAAGGACCTGGAGTGGGAGGAGTGCAGGAGCTGACCTTCCTCGGAAGTCAGGGGACCTGTCCTGGGCTGCAGGGCCTGGGATTCCCTCTGAACCACTGGGCAGGAGCCAGGGTAGGTGTGGCTGGCCTTGGGGGAAGGAGACCGGGCAGGCAGCGGGGGGAGGTGTGGGCCCACAGAGCCGGCCTAGTCCCTGAACAGAGACTGAGGGTGGAGAGGGGGAAGTGCACCACAGACCCTGTGACTGCCTGTCCTCGACGGGCCTCCTTCCCTCTCTCTTTCTCTGAGCCGGGGTGTGGGTGAGGACAGGGCCACAAGGAGGGATCCGCCTGGCAGCCCTGAGAGCTGGGCCCGTCCTTCAGGAAGCTGTACCGTTTAAATATGGCATCAGCTGGTGATCACAGCGCCTCTTGCAGGCCAAGTTTTGGGACTTCTGAGGAGTCAGACCGCCTGTCACTTACTGGCTTGGTGATCGGGGACGAGTCCCACCACCTCCCGAAGCTGGTTTCCCGTCTGTAAAGGAAGCATCAGAATCCCACTTTGTGGGGTGATAGGAGGGTTAACTGAGACCAGGAGTGCACAGTCCCACACTGCGCCTGCCACCAGAAAATGCCAGTAGTGCAGCCACTGCTTTCTCAGGAGTTTGTCCCAAGGGCCGGGGACTGTGTCCCGAGCAGGTCGGTCGCCAGAGAGGTGAGAGTGAGCAAGTCCCTGAGCGTGGCAGGAATGAGGGTGTGGCGTGTGGGGCTGGGCTCTCTGGGTTGTGGGGCTGGTGACAGTCCAGGAGGGGAGGGACGAGGGGGGAGATCAGCAGTTCCTACTCCGACCCGGTTGCTGTCCTCCTCTTGTCTGGAGACAGTGATCCAGGGCCCTCTGTTGTCTGCCTGGTGCGGAGTAATGGAAGCTTGCACTCGAGGGCCCATTCGGCTCCCTTGCTGCTGGTAAAAGCAGAATAGTGGGGCCAGGCTGCTTGCCAGGCTTCTGCAGAAACAGCCTACGGAGTAGGCCTGCCATCCCCTCCACTCCACCCCCCCCCCCGTGCCCCCCCCTCCCGCCAGGCTTGGCCCAGGAGGTAGGGAACACTGCACCATTCTAGTCCCAGCCCCCACCTCCCCACACACCTCGCCCCGTAGCCTGAGAGGAGCTCTCGGAGCCTGGGGTTCTGCTTCAGGAAGACAGGTTTCACCCGGGGGTCCCTCCAATGTGGGGGCAGAGAACGCTTAAGCTCTTGAAGAGTAAGTGGGACCTGGCCCCGCTCAGCCCCTCCCTGTGACGTGGGGCCCGCCCATCGTCCTCCGCCTGGCCCTGCGGAGTCAGAGCACAGAGTTCTAGGCGGGCATTGCTGACTCCCAGCCAGCCAGCTGCACAGCCTGTCCCGAGGGAACAAAGGTGCCGACCCAGAGGTAGGAGAGCCGCAGGGGCAGCCCCGGGAGCCTCCCCAGCACCCCCAGTCTGGGGCTGGGCTGAGGAGGTCAGCTTTGGGAGCTGGTTCCTGGGCAGGCTGGCTGAGCCGCTGTCTCCCTGACCTGAGGCGGGGCAGGTGCTCAGATCATTAACTCCTGGGGCAGGCAGGGCGGTCACTGCCAGTGGGGAGTTCCCAGGGCCCCGGCTTCTCACCCTCTCCCCGCCTTCTCCGCAGACGCCCTGCTGGAGGACTTGGAGTCCACCACCTCCCACATCTCCAAACGGCCCGTGTTCTTGTCGGAGGAGACTCCCTACTCCTACCCAACTGGAAACCACACGTACCAGGAGATTGCGGTGCCGCCCCCGGTCCCTCCACCCCCGTCCAGCGAGGCCCTCAATGGCGCGCTCCTTGACCCCTTAGACCAGTGGCAGACCAGCGCCCCCCGATTCATCCACCAGCAGGTGAGGGGGCCAGGGTGGAAGCTCCCAGAGGCTTTGGGGCTAAAGGAGCGTGTCTGGCAGCTGCCTGGGAGCCGAGGGAGGAATGGGCTCCGGGGAAGGGGAGAGGGGCTCTCCCCACCAGACGCCACGTGAGGGGGCGGTGACCAAGTGTTACTCACCTGTCTCCAGCCGGAGCGTGGAAATTCCCTGGTGAGACGGGCTGTGAGCAGCAGCCTCCTGGGGGTGACTCGGACTGTTCCTTTTCCTCCCGGGAGGCTCTGAGCATTCTCCTTCCCGCAGCCCCAGCCCCTGCCACCGGCCTACGGCTCCAGTGCCAAACCCTGCAACGCCTCCACCCCCCAGGACGGCCTGGGCCCTCCGTGCGCTCGGGCCGGTGAGGAAGAGCACGTCTACAGGTACGGCCCCAGCCCTGCTGCTCACGTCCTCTCCTGCTTGGGAATCCTGGGACCGGCCAGGCCTGGAGGCAGCCGAGGCCAGGGGTGAGGCCTGGCCAGGGCCCGTGAGGTTCTGTCTTGGGTCATTGGGCCAAATCACAGAAGGCCCGAGGCCCCCAGCCAGCTCATGGTGCCTCCTGATGGCCTGGTGGCCTGATCAGGGCCATCTCCATCCTCCATACAAAGCCAGCGGCCACGTCACGTCACCCGTGTCATTGAGGAACGGGGAGGCAGGCCTTCCTCCCTCCCCTCTTCTTACCACACCCCTCCCCACTCTCAGTCCTCTGCTGTGGGAGACCTCGTCCCCCGCTGCCTATTCTCCTGGAGAATCGGGGGTGGCCAGAGCTGGGAGTGACTCTCAGTGTGCTCTTCCCTTTGTCTCTCAAAGCTTCCCCAACAAGCAGAAGTCGGCTGAGCCTTCACCCGCCGTGATGAGCTCCTCCCTGGGCAGCAACCTTTCGGAACTGGACCGCCTGCTGCTGGAGCTGAACGCTGTGCAGCACGGCCCCTCGGGCTTCCCCGCAGGTGGGGCTGGGTCCCGGGGCAGGCCTGCCTCATCCCGAGAGGGCTCAGGGCTGAGCGGTCTCTCTCTCCCTCTCCCAAGATGAGGCCAACTCGAGCCCCCCGCTGCCGCGGGCTCTGAGCCCTCACTATGGCGCCCCGGAGAGCAGCCTGCTGGCGGGCAGCGCCGGGCCCCTGAGGAAAGAGAAGCCCAAGCGGAACGGCGCCCGGCGCCTGGAGGACGTGCGGCCCGGCGTGGAGAGCCTCCTGGACGAGCTGGAGAGCTCCGTGCCCAGCCCCGTGTGAGTGCCCCGGGCTCGCCAGGGAGGCTCGCTCATCAGTGCCCGTGCTCCATGCCTGCCCACTTAGCCCATGTCACCTGCTCCCTCCATAAGAGCCTGTGGTCTGCCAGGCCCTGCACCAGGCCCTGGGGGGATAGTGGCGAGTCACACGGACGCCATTCCTGCCTTCCTCGAGCCACCGCCCATCGGAAAGGATGGACATCACGCATGCTGAGGGCCCCTATAGCTTAGTGGCCATCAGCACAGGTTTTGGAGCCACACAGTGGGGTTCAGACCTTGGCTCTGCCCTTACGAAGTGTCTCAAGCCTTACTGTTCCCATCTGTAAAATGGGATTAGGGGGTGTGGATAATGGGGATAGGGCCGCCTGCCTCCATGGGGTCGACCCAGTCATACATGTAAAGCACGTGGAGTGGTTTCTGCCTCATAGCAGGTGATGTACATGGTGCATGCTCTAAGTGTTAGCTCTTCTCGCACATGTACACTCAGTGCTACACGGCTCGGGCTGATGTCACGGGCAAGCTTGGACTTGGGCTGGAGGACTAGAGGCGTCTTCCTGGGAACGTTGCTGCTGAGCGGCCCTCCCTTCTCCCATGTCCGCGCACCTCAGCTCTGTCCCCCTGGCAGACAGCAGCCTCCTCCCCAGAAGAGATCAGGAGCTAGTGGGCTTCCCCGGGGTTGGCGGGGTGGGACCCCAGTGTCAGAGCTGACATGTTGATCTCCTGAGGAGGGGAGGGCCGCGCGGGGGGGAGCCTGGGGCTGGACTTGGGGCTCCCTCTGACTCGTGCCTGTCTGCAGCCCCGCCATCACTGTGAGCCATGGCGAGATGAACAGCCCCCAGCGCGTCACCTCCAGCCAGCAGCAGACACGGATCTCGGCCTCCTCTGCCACCAGGGAGCTGGACGAGCTGATGGCTTCCCTGTCGGATTTTAAGGTGCCCGAAGCCCCTTCTTCCCTGCCCATGTCTCCCATCCTTCTCTTTCCATACCTCAGTGTGAGTAGCTGGAACTCGGCCCCTCCGTTTGGGTGCCTTGCCCTGAGCCAGGGGCCCCACAGTGCCCTGGCCTGGCCAGGGTGTGGGGGAGGGAGGGCTCAGCCAGGCGGTGGGCACTGAGCTGCCTCGCAGCCTGTGAAGGCCGAGACATTCCTTCCTCCCGGGACGAGGAGGTAAAACAAAGGGCCCTGTGTCCATGCTGCTCTTGGTGGGGGAGGGCATTCTCTGCTGGCCACGGGGGCCGTGCGAGCTGGTGCCTGAGCGGTCATTGCCCTGGAGCTCATCTCCCACGCTGGCGTCCTCAGCACGTCCTCTTTCTTCCTGCCTCTGGCTTCTGAACCCAAGGCCTCCTTTGCCAGCCTCCCGTCCTGCCCCGCTTTCTCCACGGGCCTCTGAATCCCTCAGGTTCTGTCTGTGGGAGACCTAATGTCGGGCAGCTGGGCCAGTCCACACGCGGCACCCCTTCCTCCCCTCTGAGCGCCCCCTGCCTGCCAGGCCAGGTGTTTTATCGAACGATGCGGTGCCTCCGTCGGGGCTGGTATTGACCGAACTCTCCTGCAATTGCTGAGAACACTTTTCGGTGCGGGTCGAACTTTGGCGTATGACTTGGGGAACCTGAGAAGGGGAGCAAGTGGTCCATGCGCTCTTGGCCCTGATGGTGCCTCCAAACCTCCCTTCAGCTGGGGTTTTTGGTGGGAGATGGGAGTGGGGCTTGCAGGGGGTGGGCGAGCTACTGGCCGTTCTGAACAGCCAAAGGCAGGCGCCAGTCTGCTGGACCAGCACTGGCCTAAGGAAGCCCTGCTCCCGCACCCTTTCGAACGGGGCTTTCTGAGCGCCAGCGTCGTGGTGCCCGCAGGAAGCTGAGCTGCTTCTGGTTGCACGCCTAGAGCAAGGTCTCGGGGATGTAGGGAAGATGGGTTTGTCTGGGAGAAACCAAGCCGAGAATCTGGTTGGTCTCTGGTTTGGAGGCACCAGAGCAGCTGCCTGTGGCTGACTGTCCCTTGATGGTGCCTGGACTGACCTCTCTGGTCACTCTCTCCGACGGCCACCGCACCGAGCCTTCTCTCCCTCGTGCCTACTCTGATTGGGTCGCTCCCAGGCTTTGCTCAGAGGCGTGCCCTGCTGCCGGGGTTTGATGGGGCCAAGGACACGTTGCCCAGGAACACCGTGTTGGGTGTCAGGGTCTCCTGAGAGGCCCAGTCCTCATACGTCAGCTCTGCGGCCACCCCGCCAGTATAGACGGTGGCTCTCAGAGCTGAGGTCAAGCCCACCCCTTGCAGGGAGCGTCCTTCCTCACCTCTCCTGTTTCTCTGTCTTCTTCCCTCTGCCTTTTGTCTTTCTCCTCCTCCAGACCAGCTCCTCTGCTGTGGCCTTGAACTCCCTAGGGCTGCCGCCCAGCTCAGCTCCATCCTCACACCACATACGTCCTTCTCCTCCTCCTCCTCCTCCTCCTCCTCCTCCTCCTCTTCCTCCTCCCGGGCCCTCTATACTCCTGCCACCCACTCTTAAACCCTCCTCTGGAGGCCACGGTCTCACCACAGAGGCCCTCTGCCGTGAGGATGATGAGGAAGGGCAGGGCCTCTTACCTCCTGTGGCCCCCAGCTGGCTTGATTTGGCTGGCCTCGGGGTGACACCTGACACCCCCAACTCAAGGTCTCCCTCTGCAGAGGGCTCTCTGGGGCCATTTGGTGCAGAGAGCCAGGCTCGAGGCTGGAGGGACGCACTAAACCTCAAGAGTGAGCTCTGCAGGGCTCCCCCAGGCCACACTCGACCCCACGCTGGGTGTGCAGGTCCCCAGGAGCCTGGAGACCCCCAAGGGCTGTCAGCCAGCCCTGCGTACCCAGAGGAGGCCTTGGCTGCCACGTGGGAGCAGCCGTGGGCTTTGGAGGCGCTCAGGCCAGAGACTCCCCACAGAGCTACGCCCAGCTTCCAGGAAGTAACGGAGCCAGCTGTCGTGGCCATAGACCGTCAGGTCATCTTCCCAGATACCTGGAGTCCCACGAAGGAACGTGGACAGCTGCAGGAGGGGACCAGGCCAGAGCCCGCGGGGCCAGAGGGCAGCCGCCCGGCTCCTGTGGACCAGGAACAGTTGGGTGGAGAGATGCCTGTGCGGCGAAGCCCGATCCAGCCAACCCAGGGACCCGAGACAGCCCGGAGGCCAGTGGGCACCGCTGAAGCTGCTGCCGAGGCTGAGAGGGCACAGCCGGAGCTTCCACAGGCCATGGTCACGGACGCGCCCACCACCGAGAGGATTTCCACCTCTGGCCAGGCAGGCGCGAGCTTGCACGGCGGCTGGGCCTGGTCCTCGCGGCCTGAGTGGGCCGCTCTGGCTAACTGCATGCCGCCTCCCACTGCGCATGTCTGCTTGGGCAGCGAGTCCTGAGCTAGCGTGGCCTGTGACCCGACGACCAGCTCTCGCCTGGGTACTGTGGGGCCAGTGCAGCTCCCGGCCTGGGAATCACTTTGAGTGACAACCCGCTTCTTGCTTGTTTAAGGCCTTTTCCTTTCGATGAACTCCCCTGACATCCGGATGTTCACGAAATGGTTGAAAGCATGAGCTTTGGGACCAGATAGAACTGAATACAAACCCTGCCTCCAACACTCGCTACCTATGTGACCTTGGGCAACCTCCCACCAGCCTCAGTTTCTCATCTTTGAAATGGGGGTAAAGGTAGACCTTTCCCCGCAAGGTTGTCCGGAGGATTCCATGAACTAACGCCCGGAGGCGCTCTGGGTGCAGCACCTGCCCTCAGTGAGCATGGCTGCTGTTACTTGCTTCTTGCTTTATAGAAACAAAACACCAAAACCACTACAAACCAGTAGGTTATAATATAAACAAGAAAAAAATTTGGTTAGAAGATTTGGAAGGAATGCCCACAGTTTTTATTACAAATTTAAAAGAAAAAGCCTTATGTCTTTTTAAGAGCCCTCACTTACATGCTCTCAAATAAATAATCCTCATAGTAATAATAACCCTCTAAGGCAGCCAGGAAAGTACGAACCCATTTCAAGGGCGGAGGAGCCGAGGCCCCTGGAAGTGAAGTGTCTTGCCCAAGGTCAGAGCTGAAACCTGCCTCCGCCCCACCTCAGCTCTTTGGCCGTTTTGTTGAGCCCTCCCTTGCCCGGGCACCTGAGTGTGGACTGAGCAGCTTTGGCAGAGCCCAGAGTGGGGCTGTGACAGCTTCCCCCTCCCCCCTCAGATCCGCTCCGTGATCAGGAGGAGCCGGGAGACAGGCCACGCGCACCCCATGTCCCGGGAGCCCTCCCCTCGCCGCCGGCTGGACCCCGCCACCATGAGCAGGACCCCATCCCAGGAGCGGCTCATCGCAGAGCTGCAGGGGCGGCTGGGCATCCAGCCGGAGGCGGAGGGGGCGTCGGGGGCGGCGGGGGCCTCCACCGAGGACTGGATGACGGAGGGCGTCGTCATCACTGTGCAGCCTCGAGGGAGGCGGGCTGAGGGGCAGCTGGTAGAGAAGGTAGCAGGGAGATGCCCAGGGCTCAGCCAGGACCAGGGCTGCGGGCATCCTGGCCAGAGGGGAGCTTGGTGTGTGGGGTCCTGCATCCTGTGGCCCTGGAGAGACGGGCAGAGTGGGAAGGCCCGGGGAGCTGGGGACCTGGCTTCTCGGCGCCCTTGCTGGCTGAGCTGGTGCTTCCTCGCCCTCCTCATCGCTCTCCTTCCTTTCTTCTCCCCAGGTGGTTTTCCCTCCCGGCTCTCCCGTCCCCCTGAGAAGAACCTTCTCTGTTCTGCCTTCTCCTCCTGCCCCTTTCCTCCAGCATCACAGAGAGGCCGCGGCCAGCAGCCCTTCTCCCCCGCCCAGCCTGCCTGCCCCCGCCACCCTGGGGCCCTCAGCTCTTCCCTGTGGGTCCCCTGGGGCTCAGAGTGCTGGGGCAGGGCCGCAGGCGGATGTGCAGGGGCCCACCTCGCCCCTTCCTGCACCCCCCACTGTGAGGTCCGTGGGCTGCCAGACCGACGAGGACCCGATGTTCCCCCCGATGCAGGCAGGCCCTGGGCCCCGGCATGAGCCCTACCTGTCCCCCTACACACACACACACCTGGTCTCTGTCCATAAGTCCAGCAGGACCGCGTCCTTCCTGGAGACCTGGCCTTGACCCTGGACCTCATTTAACCTGACGTCCACACTCCCGCCCCAGATGTCAGCTGTCCTCTTGCCTGCCTGTGGGCTCCCTTCTGCCTGCCCCTCCCACTGCCCCTCCATCCTGTCCCAGCTCCACCGAGAAAGCCAGGCCCAGAAGAGACCCCAGCCCGTCTCCCCCCTGCAGCCCAGGCCCAGCACGTGGGAAGCCTCTGCTCTCAGGCCTCAGGCCCCTCCCTCCCGGGACCCTGCCTGTGGTTGGCTCACCTTCCCTTCTCTCTCCTCGCCCTGGGACGCTCTAGACTTTCTGTAGACCTTTCCTCCTGATGTTGGTACTGCCAGTGGAGAGAAAAGCCTCTCACCCTAAATTCCCTTTGTGAAATGGTCCAACAACAGGGTCTCTTTTTGTTTCTTCCTTAATTAAAACTATTTTTTTCTTACCCTCGTTTTCTCCCCTATTTAAGATCCAGGGCCTGGAACAAAGAGCAGATGGAGAGCTGTGCTGGGCGGCTGGCTGGCCTCCGAGTGGCAGGCAGAGCAGCCCCGAAGGGCAGGACGAGGGAGGGGTCAGTGCCAAGCTGGGCTCAGGTCCTGCGTGCCGTGTTTCCCGTGTTTCCCGGGTCAGGCCAGTGCGGTGCCAGGCGTCCTGACACCAGGAAGTCTTGCGACGTCACTCCCACCTGAAGGGCTCGTGAGGCCCCCGGAGGAGGTTGCACTTCTTGCCTCCATCGGCCCATGTTCAGGAGGGAGAAAAGCCCCAACCCTGACCTGCCCCTCTCTCTCCACAGTTCATGGCCCAGGGGAAGACAGGGAGCAGCTCTCCCCCCGGGGAGCCCCCAAAGCCCGGGAGCCAGCTGGACAGCATGCTGGGGAGCCTGCAGTCCGACCTGAACAAACTGGGGGTTGCCACAGTCGCCAAGGGAGTCTGCGGGGCCTGCAAGAAGCCCATCGCCGGGCAGGTGATGAGGGGTGGGGGGTGGGGAGAGCGGTAGGTGGGCACAGGGACCTGGCTCCTCAGAAGGGGGCTCCGTGGCAGGCCAGGGCCTTGAGCCACAGCCTGCCTCCCTCCTCAGGTGGTGACGGCCATGGGGAGGACGTGGCACCCCGAGCACTTCGTCTGCACCCACTGCCAGGAGGAGATCGGGTCCCGGAACTTCTTTGAGCGGGACGGGCAGCCCTACTGTGAAAAGGACTACCACACCCTCTTCTCCCCACGCTGCTACTACTGCAACGGCCCCATCCTGGATGTGAGTTCCGGGCACGGCGGGGAGGGCAGCGCTGGCTCATTCAGCTTCACGTCACCCTCCGAGGGGCAGGGGGTGCCCTCTGAGGCTCAGAGGTTCTGTCACAGGCCCAAGCTCACAGCTGGGATTCAGACCCAGGCCTGATGCACTGGCACCGTCCTAGTGCCCGCGGCCTCCCACCTCCACCCCAGAACCCTCTGCGGAGACGCGGAGGTGAGGCGTGAGGTGCCGGCTCCCTCTCCCACCGTGTGACATTAGGGAAACGCCTGGCCTCTGAGCCCAAGTCTCTTCCTATGAAATGGGAGTCACGGTCACAGTAGAGCCTGTGACCTCAACCGCACTGAGGATCAAAGGAGAGGGCTGGCATGTCACCTCCTTCAGGGCATCAGAATCCTCGTGGTGCTCAGAGCACAGTGAGGGGAGACCCCGTCCTGGCAGCCTCTGCGCTGCCCTTGGCCGGGGCTGGGCCGGGTGGGAAGGACAGCTCTCGGCGGGGGGATCTGTCCTGTGGGCGCAGCTCGGCTCTGACCCCGCACTCGCTTTCACAGAAAGTGGTGACAGCCCTCGACCGGACGTGGCACCCCGAGCACTTCTTCTGTGCCCAGTGCGGCGCCTTCTTCGGTCCTGAAGGTACGACGGCAGGCTCACTGGCTGCCCCGGGAGCGTTGAGGAGGGGGCTTTGCTGGTGTTGGTCAGGGCTCCACCTCTGGAGGCCCTCACTCTGCCCCACAAAACCCGCTCCTCAGGGTTCCACGAGAAAGATGGCAAAGCCTATTGCCGGAAGGATTACTTCGACATGTTCGCGCCCAAGTGTGGCGGCTGCGCCCGGGCCATCCTGGAGAACTACATCTCGGCCCTCAACACCCTCTGGCACCCCGAGTGCTTCGTGTGCCGGGTAAGGAGCCCCCTGCGCCCGCTTCTGCGGGGCACCGACCCGGCCGGCGTGGCTCAGTGGTTGAGCGTTGACCTGTGAACCAGGAGGTCACGGTTCAGTTCCTGGTCAGGGCACATGCCCAGGCTGTGGGCTCAGTCCCCAGTAGGGGGCGTTCAGGAGGCAGCGATCAGTGATTCTCTCTCATCATTGATGTTTCTGTCTCTCTCCCTCTCCCTTCCTCTTTGAAATCAAAAATATATTTAAAAAGGGGGGGCGGGCACTGGGCAGCCAGGAGAGAAGGGCCTCCCTCACTGCGCTCTCTGAATCCAACTTGGAGGCTTTGTTCGCGGTTATTAATGGGGTGAGCAGGCAGGGGGACACTTCCTCAAGCCCAGGGTCCTGGGCCAGGGCTTGTACTGAGGTGGGAGAAACCAGGAGCAAGCGCATGTGTCTCCAGCCTCGTCCTGTGTGGCGGCCCCTCCCGTTCAGAAGGGTCCAGTGGGAGAACGCAAGCTTTTCGCAGCTCCAAGGAACTGGCCATTGGTTTTTAAGCTGCAATCTGGGGGGGAGCCCATACCTGTTACTGGGGATCAGCAAGGGCCCTCCGACCAAGTAAGTTTGGGAAACATTGTTCATTTCAGCGCCAGGGTTTCGGGGCACACAGTACAGCCTCCTGGGTAGGTGCCCAGGCGTCAGACCTATGTTTAACTCCAGGCTGTGCCACTTCGTAGCGGCATGACCTCGGGCAAGTCACTTCCTCTCACGCCTCGTTCCCGTCTGTTGGGAATTCAGTGGCTTTCGCACAGCACTTGGCACGTAGGAAATGCTCGGCCAGTGGGAGTGTGGTGACCCCGACTGCCTCCTGCCCATCGTCCCTGGAGCGGCCTCAGCCCCCTGCCCCAGCTGAGCCCCCTTTCCTCCGCCTCACCCCCTCTTCCCGGCAGGAGTGCTTCACGCCGTTCATCAACGGCAGCTTCTTCGAGCACGACGGGCAGCCCTACTGCGAGGTGCACTACCACGAGCGGCGCGGCTCGCTGTGCTCCGGCTGCCAGAAGCCCATCACCGGCCGCTGCATCACCGCCATGGCCAAGAAGTTCCACCCCGAGCACTTCGTCTGTGCCTTCTGCCTCAAGCAGCTCAACAAGGGCACCTTCAAGGAGCAGAACGACAAGCCTTACTGTCAGAACTGCTTCCTCAAGCTCTTCTGCTAGGGCCCTCGTCCCTCCAGCTGCCCTGTCCCCTGGCCCAGCCTCCCCCACCGCTACTGTGACCCAGAGGCCTCGTCCAGGGCTGCAGGGCCAAGCCCGACTGAAACTGGAACCCGTGTCCTGGCTGTGCAGGGTGGCAAGAGGGCTCAAAGGGTGCCCCCTGCTTTTCATCCTCTGCCAGGGCCTCTGGGCCTCCCCCTCCTCCTGCAGCTGTCCCCAGGCTGCCAGCTCCTCGTCCTCCCCGGAGGGGGGCTGGGGGCCCCACCCTACGAACCCGCCTGGCCTGGCCAGCACCCCACACTGGAGCCATCTCTTACTCATTTCGGCAGTGGAGCAGGGGGCGGGCAGGCAGGGTCAGATGGGGTCTCTTTTTATCTTTATTTCCGTCCGACCAAATTATCCTTGTTCCGAGAATCCTGGGGGACACCGCTCCCTCCAGACAATGCCAGCATCAATCCACCCGAGGGCCGCAGTGCCCAGGGGCCACGGAAGGTTCCTGGTGCTCCTCCTGCCCTTCCAGTCTCCCCAGGCCTGGGCAATATGCCCTGCCCATCTCTGCTCTGATTCTACTGAGACAGACTCTCCAGCAATAATGTTTATAGTCACTTCCTCCGTCTCGGACGGTGGGAGGGGGGCATTTCACCTCGAGCCTGGACACTGTGCCGACTTTGATAGATTTCTACACTGAGGTTTGAATTCCTATCATCGGAGTTGCTTTTACTTCTCTATACAAAATGATTTTGAAGAGATTTTAAAGACATCCCCTTTTGTACTCTCCTCCTTGTCCACCGCCACCGGTCCTGTGGGGCAGTGGCTGTGGGACAGGGTTCGCTTTGTACTGAGGGCTTGGGGTGGGGAAGCCATTTGTATTTTATTTTTTCTTAGCATAAGCAGGTGAAGTGGGAGCAGCTCTGAGACTCCCCTTCTTTCCTTCACTGCTCCCAGGACTGTTTTATAAACTGCTGTATTTTGAAATCCCTTCCTTACTACCCAGGCCAGCAAGCTCTTAACTGAAATGGCCTAAGGGTGTCTTGCCCTTTGGGCCTAGGATTCTGAACCTCATCCGTCCTGTTCCCTAGTGAGGAGAAGGGGAAAGGATGCTTTGGGGGTGCTGTTTCCTGTCTAAGCCATTAGGAGCATCCGCTCCCCTGTGAACTCTTTGGCACCCAAGAGAACCCCCCGAACACTCTCGCCTCCTCACTGCTTCCCTGGGCTCCTCCTGCCTCCTCAGGAAAGCTGGGATCTGGTTTTGACCATTGGTCTTGTTGATTCCACTGGGCGCATCACTTCCCCAATTCCCTGCCCTCCTTGGAAACGAGGGCTGGGGGAAGGCTCGGGTTGTTGCAAGGCAGTCTGGACGGAGGGATGGATCCGCTGAAGCCATGGAAAGGTCCCAGAGCTTTGCTTTCTCCCCCAAGGATGAAACAGGAGCAGGCAGGCCCGGGTTCCTGGCCAGCAGAGGGGGGCCCCAGTGGGGTCTACAGGGGGTAAGATCCTAGCAGAGGCTCAGTGCGCTGGGGTTTCAGATGAGGGTCCCTCCTTCAAGCCAGGGCTGGGAGCAGCCAGGTCTGGGCAGGTCAAAGGTCTGACGTCTCCACTTCCACCCATAGGCCTTATTGCTCTGTTTACAGTGACCCGCCCTAGACCCCACTCCTAGAGGGAAGGGTTTCTGGGGTCCACCCTCTGGGTCAATGGTTATTTGATGAATTGATTTTAATTTTTTTCTCTGTAAACTTTTAACCTGGCTTTTCCTCATTTCAATTCCTGTGATTTATGCCAATAAAGTTTGCCATTATTTTGATCTGTGCTGGTGCGTTTTCTTTGTGGTCTGAGATAACAACTTAGTCCCAGAAGAGAGACCAAACCCTCCTAGACTCACAAGCACCACAGTTTGAGGATAGATCATCCATGTTCCCTTACATGAGGCAAAAAGCCCTGGGATGGGGCCCTTGCCCCACAGGACTCTGGTCCGTGAGCACTGGTCCTCCTGGCTTCCCATGTGAGCTTTGTTGGCCAGCGCAGGCTGGGGAGCAGCCTTATTGGGCCCTGCCCAGGTCAGGGCCTGCACTAAGTTTTGTCCTGGATTCCCCACGGGCATCCTCACGTGGGCCTGTGGCTGGTTTTACACTCATTTGCCGATGGGGAAAGAGGTTCAGGGAGGAGAACCAACATGCAGAAGGAAACCTGAGTGCAGACAGGGTGTATGAACTCAAGGCTTGCCTCTGCCAGTGTTCCTGCACTGACCAACCCTCACCCCTGACCCCCCCATGTACTGGCACAACACTTTGGGTGTCAACTGAAGGGGGCGGACTGATAGTTGGCAATTGGTCTCTACTTCCCCCTGGTGGTCATGATCCTATTTGCAGGCTTCCTCACTTTGGTCAGCCAGAACTTCAGTCCTGCTCCCGACCCCAGTTCTCCCCACGCCCTACACCCCTCTTCCGGCCTCAGTTCCCCTTTGTTTGGAATGGCCCTCCAAAGCCGCATGTTGAATTCTAGTCTGAACCCTGCCCATTTCACAGTGAGCTCAGAAGTGAAAATTACCTTCAACCCTCACCCAAAGATAATTACTTGGTTTATCCTTCCCACTCATGTTTGATTTATTTTACTTACAGAAATGGATATGGTACACTTCCTTGTAATTTGCTTCCTCACTCAAGTGTACTCTGTATTTCTCCATGTCAATAAATATAGATCTGCATCATTTTTTAATGGTTTCATGGTATTCCATTATATTGATGTTCTACAATTAGAAATATTTATGTCATCAGAGCCAGGATGTCCTTGGGAAGGTAACTGTATGTATATCCTTGGGAAAGTGTGTTTAGGGGGAGACTCTAAGGGTTTGGAAGGAACTACAGCATGATGAGGCCCATGGGCTATGAACTTTCTGTAGATTTCAGTTCTGACGCCATCATTAACTGGCTGAGGGACTTGGGGAAAATATTTAACCTCTGAATTTTCTCATCGATAAAACGGAAATACTAAGACGGTGTTGATATTGTTGCAAATGTCAACAGCGCTAATGTGCGCAAAGTACTCGGCACAACGCTGAGCAGGCAGCAGTAATACCTTGTCATGACACAGCAATACCTTGTCATGACACAGCGACCTTAGCAGTAGTCAACTCCAGCATTTCTCTAAACTGGCTCATCATCAGAGGCACTAGGAGGCTTTAAAACAAAATAGAGAGGTTTCTAACTTGGTCAAGTGCAAAGGGTAAAGGTAGGGAGAAACACCTCTTCTGCTGTAGGATCTAAGCTCATTCATTAAAAAACACTCGAGAGTACATTAAGTGTTGAATGAATGTATAATAAAAGAAACTAGCATTTGTAGTAAATTCCTCCTGCATTCCAGGAACTGTGTTAAGTCTTCACAAATAGCTCAGGGAATCCTCACAACAAGTCTAGAATGTGGATACTCTTACCCCATTTTACAGGTAAGGAATGAGAAACAGTGTCAACAAGGTGAAATCATTTTCAAGAACAAGAAGATCAGGTCATCTGACTGCAAACCCTGCATTCATACGTTCAACAAATACTATTTATGACCCGGGCTAGTGCAGCTCAGTTGGTGGGGTGCTGTCCTGTGCACTGAGAAGCCACTGGTTAGATTTCTGGTCAGGGCACATGCCCGGGTTGCCGCTCCATTTCTGGTAGGGAGTGTGCAGGAGGCAGCTGACACATGTTTCTCTTTCATCGATGCTTCTATCTCCCTCGAAGTTCCTTTCTCCCTAAAATCAATAAAAACATATTAAAAAAACAAATATTTATGATATGCCTACTATATGCTAGGCACAAAGCAAAAATTTCTGCCTTGCAGAGCTTGCATTCTTGCAGGGAGAGACAGACAAATAACTATGTATATAAAAGTCTAATATGCAATGTGTCCCCTCAGGAGTTCAACTGGGAGACCGGGAGTTCAATTGCTCGCTATGACATGCGGTGATCACCAGGGGGCGGCGCTGAATGAAGGAAGGCCCCGGCCAGCAGCCCAAGGCCCTGATTGGCTCTGATCGCTGGCCAGGCCTAGGGACCCTACCTGTGCATGAATTTCATGCACCAGGCCTCTAGTGTAATAAGTAAACTACATAATGTGTTACAAAGTGTAAGTGCTACCAAAAACAACAACAACAAAAAAACAGACTAAGGGGGAAGTGGGAGTTATTATTTAAAAAAATTTTTTTTGGTAGTAATTTTAAAAAAAGCAAATCAGAGTAGGCCTGTTTTAGCAGGTGATATTTGAGCCAAACTGTGATGGAGGTGTCACACATGTGGATATAGGCAAGGAGCCTTCCAGGGAGAGGGAACAGTTGGTTTAGAGCCCTCAAGGGGCACATCGTCTGGCTGGAAGGAAATGAGTCAGTAGTAAAATAGGAGACGCAATTATAGGAGTAGAGGTGGAGAGCGGATGATATAGGGTAAGCATGTCAAACTCAAAGGCTAACACGGGCCAAATAAACAAGGTTTAAGTTTATGTGGCTGCAAAAAAACAAAAGTTTCAATTTTCATAGAAACATAGGTTTATTTCGCTAGAGACATGCTGAATAAAAGGGCTGAAATGAGTAACCATTAACATAAAATAATAGAACATTTTAATAAATATTTTTTCTTGAACATTAACTTACCGGACACTGAATAACTAAACAAATTAATAAGCGTTAACGCAGATAAACCTATTTTTCTTGTTCTCCGAAAGCGAAATGTTTCCTGTTGCTCACACCAAACAAGTCAGTCCAAGACTATTGAGATGGCCATCGGCTGCTAAAATATTCGCTGCTAGTATTAGTGGACAGAAATGGTGCGCCTGCGTGTAAGGCAGGGAAATGAATGCAACACGATGATAGTAATCAGTCATTAGCGAACGTTGTAGTTTGTTATTAATAATTAAGTATAACAGGATATTAAGTTATGAAATTTTTATTAAAACGTTTCTTACATACCGTTATATTGGCTGGGCTGCAAAAATACTCGTTGTGGGCCGCAAACCGCCCGCGGGCTGCGAGTTTGACATTCTTGATGTAGGGTCTTGTAGGCCAGTTAAGTTTTAATCTTTTTACTTTGTGGGAAATGGGAAGCCTTTGAAGAATTTTGAACCGATGAGGAAATGACCCGACTGTTCTATTTACTTATTTTTTCATCCGACTGTTTTAAGTGATCCCTCTGTTTGGCAGGGAAAGGACACACTATAGAGGGGACAGGGACCATTCTGTTTCTAAGGCCTGTGCAACGTCATCCTCTAGTTTGCGACCTGCCAGGGGGCGGGGAAACGGGACCGGACCGGACCGGACCGAGCCCACAGATCCAAGCGCCTTCACAAAGCAGCTCCAGCCCAGCAGAGGGAAGCAGCTCGCAGAGAGCGCCTGCAACCCCAGGCAGCGCTTCCATAACTTCCTATTTGAAGGCGGCTTCCGGTAGGCTGGAGTGGCAGCTGTGCCATCCAATGGCTGCCTGCGTTCCTTCTGCTTCGCCAGACAGGCGTCGGCGCCAGCCAATAGGTGGGGGTGCTGTCTAAGGCTTCTGATTGGCTGCTGCGTTTCCTTATAAAAGGGGCGCGCCGGCGCACGGCCTTCCTCTCGCCAGGCGTCCTCGTGGGAGGTTCGTGTGGCTGCCGAATGGCGCCGGGACTGGCGGCGGGAAGGATGGGCGTCTTTGCGGGGCAGCTGGGAGGCCGCGGGGTCCAGGCTTATGCGGCCGGGGCTGCGGCCGAGGCTCGCGCTCTGCCCGCGGTGGCCGCGCAGCCAGGCCAGGCCGGCGGACTCCGCGCGCCGCCTGCCCCGTAGATAGGCCTCGGGTTGGAGGCCGGCGGGCGGTGGGCGCGGGGTGTTTGAGCCTCCTCTCTCCCCCCAGTGACATCGTCTTTAAACCCTGCGTGGCAATCCCTGACGCACCGCCGCGATGCCCAGGGAAGACAGGGCGACCTGGAAGTCCAACTACTTCCTTAAGATCATCGTAAGTGCGGGGTGGGTCGCGGCCGCCATCGTGCTCGTCGGCCACGGGCTAAGAGGGCCGTCAGCTCCCAGGTGCCGGGCTGCTGAATCGGGCCATTTTAGGCGAATCTCACTGAACCTTTCAGGATTTCCAAAGGTCTGCGTGCCACCCCCACCTGTTGCAGATACACAGGCTCGGGCAGTTACTGGCTCCCAAGAGCTAAGTGGCATTAATTCATGACCAGGTCTGTCTGGCATTCAGGTGGCGCTCATCATACTCTCACTTGTCTGCTCCCATCTTTGGGAAGGCGAGAGGCAGTGAGTGACTCATAAAAAGTCAAGTTGGTGCACATTCAGGTCCTGCCAGTCAAGAAACCCAGTGTCTGAATGAACGCTCCCTTTACGAAGGCCTTGGAGGGGGTCCTCCCTGCTTAACAGGATGGTACAATAATCCCACACCCACAACCTAGATTTTACAAGTAGGGTTTTGTTGCATTTGCTTTCTGCTGTGTTTTGAGCGCTGTAAATGCAGCCTTATGTGGAATGTTTTTTGCTGTTAAGTCATTTTAGTGAGTCAGAAACATATCTCATAATTGGGAAATGTTAGAAAATGAGAGCTAAAATTAAAAATTTTTCTGATTGAATGTACCAACCCAGTTTTTACTATCCATACTCAGCAAGCAAATCTTTGACAAATCTGTCAGTGTTACGACCCAGGTGGCTCCTGGGGGAGGAGTTGGCCCAATGTGAGGCACTTCAAAGCATAGAAGAAAGGGAGTGGGATGGAAACCAGCCATTGTGGGGGTGGTTTCTCCTGATTTTAAAAAATTTTTATTGATTGATATTTAGAGAAGCATCAGTTTGCTCTTCTACTTGT